CGATCTCTCTCTTGGCTTCTGCCGTTCTGGCGCTGTCCAGCGCCACTCTCCGCGCCAAGGCGGCGTGCGAGTGCGGCTACCTGGACCCCTCCACCAACCATCTCTGGACCGATGCCTCCTTCAGCTACTTCAACGAGACTGGGCTCGAGGATATTGTAATGGACCCCGCCAAGTCGCCCAAGGTCGATGGCGCTGAAACCGCTGGTGACACCGGCGACGGCCAGCAGACCTGGTCTGCGGTCGGAAACCACATCAACCCGTACGAGGAATCATTCGGCGCTACCTACCTGAGCGCTGTCAGCTACAACAACACCTACATTGACAACCGCACCGAGGGCCTTGCCATGGAGGTTTCCACCGCCAACCAAAAGACGCACGTGGTCAACGGCTCGAGCATCGTCACTCGCCGCCGCGACATTCTCTACGGCTCTTTCCGTGCCAGCGTCAAGCCTCCATTCATCAAGCCCCTTCCCGGCTCCGACCGGGGCTACGGCTCTGGCTTCCAGTTCGCTCTGTCGTACAACGCCTCGGAGCGCATGCACGTCAACATCCTCACCAACGACTACATGCCCAACTCGACGCTCGGCTGGTCCTTTGCCGCCACCCGATGGGACGACGACCCGGTCAAGACCAACCTCACTTACCTCCAGAACTTCACCATCGCCAACGAGACCGCCTTCCTCGAGCACCGAATGGAGTGGCTCAACCAGACCGTCATTCAGTACAAGAACAATGCCGCCAACGAGTCGGTCAGCCTCTTCCAGTACAAGAAGGGCAAGAACACCATCAATCTGCCTACCACTCCGGCGCCCGTCTCGCTGCAGGCCTGGGCCAATGGAGAGCCTTCGTCTTCGCAGGGTCCTCCCGCCTACGAGCCCAACGTGGTGCGCGTCATGTACACGCGCTTCTTCTTCAACTCGTCGCGCGTCGAGCGTCACGACCAGTTCACTGCGCAGTGTGCCGCTGCTGCCAGCTCGGCCAACGCCGTGTGCAGCACTGAGGACTACACGCTGCGAACCAGCACCCCCTTCGATCTCGTTGCGGCTCAGCAGTTCAAGCCCAAGAAGACCAAGTTCTCGGTGCCCATCTGGGCTGCTGCCATCGAGCTCTTCTTCCTGCTCGTCCTGATTGTCACTGTGGTGCACGGTCTGTACATCCGAAAGATCAAGGAGCAGCAGAAGAAACGCAAGGCAGCCGCCCTCGCGCTCGCCGAGGAAGAGGAGAAGCAGGCCCAGCTGCTCGAGTACGATGACATCAACGACAAGACCGACTCGCCCCGCTCGCGCGCCGCTGCCGACTTTGAGAAGCCGTACAAGCAGATCTGGGCCGTCCCCGAGCTCATGGATGACTGGGGCTCGGACGATGAGAGCGACATCGACGAGGACGACGAGCGCTTCTGGGAATCGGCCGATGTGTTGCGCAGCACCAACTACCAGGAGGACCGCGAGGCCACTCGTCCCGGTCTGCCTCAGTTCGATGAAGCGGCCGCCATGAAGCCCTCGATGAGCGCCGAGAGCATCGAGAGCCTCAAGTTGCCCGCCGACAACAGACCAGCTTCGCCTCCGCGCAACATGGGCTCGCCGCGAATCGGCGAGCAGGCCGACGCGGCCTGGGGATCGCACAGCCGCTCCAACAGCGCCAACCGCATCCCCGCCGCTAACCAGTTCCAGCTGGTCAACCGTCCCAACTTCCCGCGTGAGAACTCGAACCTTCGTCAACAGTTGGCCGGCCGTATGAGCCGCAACAACCCGTACAACACGGGCGCCGGCAACATGGGTCCTACCACTGGAGGCGTTGGCAGCAGCCCTCGCTTTGACGATGTCGAGGAGGAGGAGACGCTTGCCGCCGGAGACCGCAGCAGCTCGGGAAGCAGCACGTACCCGCCCAACCGACCCGGACTGAACCGCTTCGATTCGTACGAGTCGGACATCCAGGTGCCCACCAACACCCACGATTCGGCGCGCACGCAGCGATACCTCCAGGACAGCAGTAGCAACGTCAGCCTGCCCTACATTGCTCCCAAGTACGCCGCGTCGGGCGGCCTCAATTCTGCCGCCAACTCGACCGCCTCGCTGCTCAACTATAGCGGCTCGGGCGGTGGCAATGGCAACGGCGTCGGTGCAAGCCACGGATACTCGTCGTCGATCAACATCAACTGGGACACGGAGCCCAAGATCATCCAGTGGAACAAGCGTAAGAGCATGGGTGTCGACCTGACTATCGGTCAGCTCGCCCAGCCCGCCATGGGTGACAAGAATGCTGCGCGCCGTCTTTCGACCGTGGTGAACGCGGCGCCGAACAACGCGCACTCGTTCTTGACCATCGTCTACAGGCGCGTGTACAACTTCTTCTTCATCTCGGGCGACGGCATGAAGACGGCCTCGGGTGATGCGCGTATCGACTACCTCGACGGCATGCGTGGATTCGCCTGTCTCTTCGTATCGCTCGGTCACTTTATCCTCATGTTCTACAACGCCATGGCCAACTTCTACGGACCCCACCACTACTACGGCTTCGAGTACTGGATCCGCGTCATCTTTGGCCCCATTGTCATCAACGCTGGTCTGGTGCTGGGTATCTTCTTCCTGCTCCCCTCGCGTACGATGGGTTCGAGGTACCTCGTCAAAGGAGGTGTGCAGTCGCTCGCCGACAACTCGGTTCGTCGTATGCCGCGTCTGATCATCCCCGCTGCTGGTGCGTGCTTGGCCAACTACATGATGATCGACGTGGGTGCGTACAAGTGGGTGGCACGCATGAACTCGCTCACCTGGTCCACGTGGTCGTACTATCAGAACTACGACAATGCGCTCGACTTCCTCGACTCGTTCATCGCGCTCTGGTGGGCCGGCCCTCCCGACCAGCCCGCTCTGGTGACTCGCTACGCTACCGGTGTGCTTTGGACGATCCCTGTTATTGTTCAGGGTGCCTGGACGTGTATGCTGTGCGCCGTGTTTGCGCACGAGATCAAGACCACGTGGAAGCGCTTCTTCTTCTACTTTATCTGCATCCTGCTCTCGTGGTACGCGCAGACGTGGGATCTGTTCTTCATGGCGGGTCTCGTGATCGCCGACCTGGACATCAACCTCAAGTACCGAAAGTGGGGCGAGATGGGTATTCCGCTGCTGCCCAAGGGCTACGCCAAGCTGCTGCGCATCCCGGAACGCATCCGCCAGAAGTTTGCGCTCAAGGGCAAGATTGTTCCCTGGGCCTTCTTCCTCGCCTGCTGTGTGCAGGAGTGGCTGACGTACATCCCTGGTGCGCCCGCCGAGAACTTTGACGTTTGGGATGTGGGTGTGCACCCCAACTTCTACAACTCGAGGCCGAACAAGTGGAACGAGGACGTCGGCTACAAGTACCAGCGTCCCAGGACCTCGGCGTGGTTCTTTGTGATGAGCATCTTTATCCTCGCCGATCACTCGAGCGCGTTCCGCCAGGTGTTCAAGCTGCGTATCTGGAGCTTCCTCGGCAAGCACTCGATGGCCTACTTCCTGCTGCACGGCATCATCTTCTGGACCTGGGGCTCTTGGCTCTGCGTGACGATGCTCACCAGGGGCATCAGCTACTTTGCCACGATCATGGTCGTGTTCGTCACGAGCTACTTCTGGCTCACCATCTTCTGCGTCTGCTTTACCTACACCTTCGAGTACTGGGGCATCATCGCATCCAAGGCCTTCTGGCGTGCCACCTCGGGCAACCTTGGTCGTCGTGCCGGCGCCTAGTCCTTTCTCTTGTCGTATACCCTTGGGGACCTGTATAAATATTCTTTCCAATGCTGCGCATCTATTTATCCCTCTCTCTCTCTCCTCTATCCGTTTGCGTTGTACGAAGGGTGAGATGAGCTGCCGGCCCGTGGTGCGGGAATGAGCGTGAGGGACAAAAAATCAAAAAAGGAACTGCAGCACCTAGGATTCCC